AAAAAGGCGCCAACCTCCCGCCAAAATTGCAACGGATACAATCAAATTCTGTTGCAAAAAAACCGTTGCACAAAACTTCCGTTGCAAACAACTCCGTTGCGCAATAATTCCGTTGCAATTAAAAAAGCCGTCGCAATTCTACAACAGAAAAAAGGTTGTTGCAATGTATCCATTGCAATATTGATATTTTCTTGTAGTGAGAGAAGAGAATCATATCATTATGAGGAGATTAATCAATTTTTTCAATAATCTAAACCGATGCGGGGATCATATATTTTTTCAATCAATGGTGATTGTATAATAGTTGAGTTTATAAATGAGAAAAAATGAATGTAAATCTCAAACCACAAAATAATTTTAATTTGAAAAATATTAGAACCGTCATGTTGTCAAGGAACATCGATCATTCATCTGAATTGTGCGATTTATATTCTATTATCCATTGTACCCAACTAGCCTAACAACAAATTAGCGAAACGGAGCAATCGTGCGGAAGACCTGGAGATCCGCAAGGACCCTAGGTGCGACACAATGGAAGACCTGGATTGTCGCAAGTCTGCGCGGAAGATCGGCAACCCTAGGTGTGGACGGGAGAGATGATTCAGGCGTTATTCATATGAAAGGAACTGGTAAACCCTAGGTCTAACTATCGTTGATGCCGACAGCGATGACGGTGGCTATAATGTAGGTTTAATTAGACTATAAAATTATATTTCCAAATTTGAAGAGAATGAACGGTATGTTACTTGAGAATGAACACAACATAATTTGAGAATGATCACCACTTTGTTTCATAATGAACACTAAGTTATTCGTAAATGATTATTATAATTTTATAGTATAAATGCGTGAAAATGAGTACTAAGTTATCTCAAAACAAACGTTTACATTTTTGTGAGAATGATACCTACTTTACTTTAGAATGAATACTACTCGAATATACCTTACTTCTGGTACAACTGGTTGTACCATCTACCTTCTCTCTGAATTGTATAATAGTACAAGGTTAAACATTCAAAGTTGTGAAAAATTATCTTCAGCGCAATTGTAGTATTAGAAAATAAAGCCTTAGAGAATGTTTACATGCACAACATAAATGAATTATATTCCGTATATCATTGCGTACAAGATTACTCTTAAAGTTTCAAGGAACATAATTTTCAATAGCTTATATTTCGTTATGATCTGACTTATGTTTATAAAAAAAAGTTAATGTCAAACATTGGCATTAATAATATTATTTTTACCAAATTGGTATTCACTTATTGTTAAATTTATATTATTATTTCACAAGTGAGAGTAAAAATAAAGTTTAAAATTTTAGTTTTACATGTCTTTGGTAATCTTTATAACTTCACAAAAAAACATTGTATACCTCAACATTTTTGTCGCGATGAAAAATAACAAGAACAAAAAAAATCGTTCCACCCCGTGCATGGCACGAGTCAAAATACTAGTTTGTATATAAATTTGAGAGTTCAATGCATAAAAATTTGACATGTGGCATATTATGTGGCATTTGATTTATGAGTTAGACTTCATTCAATAATACTTGACATGAGATTAAACTTTTATTTTTTATCAAAAATAAAATTATTAAAAATAAAAAATTTCAATAAATCCTTTAAATTAAATTGTTAAGAATAAACTATTCAATAAATCCTTCACTTATTCAAGAAATATTTAAAATTTTTAAAATTTCCTAAAAAAAAATTTCTACACCCTTCACTTTTTAATACTCGTATTAAATAACAATTAATTATTTAAACTTTTATAAAACCGTTCACTTTCTAACTATTTAAAAATATTCATTTCATGATTAGAACATACTCCGGGTATTTCTTTAATATTCAAAAGTATGTAGTTATTTAAAAATTTAATATAAACTTTATCCATTGAGAAAACAACAATGTATATAAGTTTTGAAACTATGCACCCTACCATTTATTTTTCTATTACGGAGAACTTCTAAAAAAATTACATAAACTTTATCCTTATACAACTTTATTAACTACAATGTTTAATTTAAATTTTTACATAAACTTTATCACACATGCATCTTTGTTAGTTATATAATTTATTGATTAAATTCATAATTAGTCCATTATAATTTGGGAGTTTCCGTATTTAGTCCTCTATCCTTTAATATAAAATTTGAGAGATGATTGTTTAGAATGCGCAAATTATATCGTACAGCCGGCTGTACGGGAAGAACCGTACAGCCGGCGGAAATTAGCGTGGAGCTCGATCGAGTACAGCCGGCGGAAATGGAGCGCGATTGAGTCAAACCCTAGGTGCGTTTGATCGGAAAAAGAAGGCAGTACAGGAGCAGCGGGGGAGCAGCAAAGATGGTGATGATGCGAAGGTGATGGTGAAGATGATGGTGGAGAAGAAGAAGCCTTCACGGGGAGTCGAAGGGTTTGGGAAATTTTTAGTCGGAAATAATTCAGCTTTTCGGTGAGGGAGAAGAAGAAGAGGTGGAGATTGATTTTAAACTAAGTGGAATGAATGAATGGTATTTTAGTTGAGAATGAACACTACTTTATTTGATAATGAGTACCACTTTGTTTCAGAATGAACACTATGTTATTTGTAAATGAATATTATAATTGATGGGTGTATTCCACCCATGACCGGTCAAAGAAGGAGACCAAATAAGTTGACCGGTCAACCCGGATGATTCCGGAAAAGAACTTNGCGATTGAGTCAAACCCTAGGTGCGTTTGATCGGAAAAAGAAGGCAGTACAGGAGCAGCGGGGGAGCAGCAAAGATGGTGATGATGCGAAGGTGATGGTGAAGATGATGGTGGAGAAGAAGAAGCCTTCACGGGGAGTCGAAGGGTTTGGGAAATTTTTAGTCGGAAATAATTCAGCTTTTCGGTGAGGGAGAAGAAGAAGAGGTGGAGATTGATTTTAAACTAAGTGGAATGAATGAATGGTATTTTAGTTGAGAATGAACACTACTTTATTTGATAATGAGTACCACTTTGTTTCAGAATGAACACTATGTTATTTGTAAATGAATATTATAATTGATGGGTGTATTCCACCCATGACCGGTCAAAGAAGGAGACCAAATAAGTTGACCGGTCAACCCGGATGATTCCGGAAAAGAACTTTAATCGTCGTTAGTTTGATGCTTGATCTATCACAATATGACCGGTATACTCCAGCAGAGCGGGTGTACCGGTCGAAGTACCTTGTCACTCAGATCAGTCCCTAATTTCGATAAATTCATCCCTCGGAGATTACCTGGTGTAGTTCTAAGGATTGGAAAGCATCGGCGAAAGGGGATCTAGAGCTGTTTGGATTATAGCGCCCCACACCGCTGGAAGATCAGGGAGATGCTGGAGGAATCTGTCCAAATCAGTACGCGACAAAGGGAATAATCCCCCTAGCGAGGTGACAAGGTGACTAGAAGACAAGGTCCATCACCTCTGACCATCCGAGCAGCGTGCCTCCACGTGGGATCACGTGGTCCTGCCCCCCCCCCCTAGCCTAGTATAAATACTCGTGTAAACCTCAGAAAGGGGGATGCGAATTCCTTCTCTCTAAACTCCCCTGTAAAAGCACTCGTGCATTCTCTTTATTAATATAAAAAGTCTACAGGTGTTTCCACCTATAGTCTTACCGGTCATTCTGAGTGTTTTTACTTTCTTTACTTTACTGAATCAAGCCGATTATTCTAGACCCGGTCTAGTATAGTTTGACCGGTCAAGTAATTTACACCATCATTTTTGGCGTCATCCGTGGGACCGTTAAGGTTTTTTCTTTTCTAAACACAAACCTACCCACAAAAACACCACTCAAAATGTCTTCTAGTCAGCAAATCAACGCTACCTCTGCTCAGGTGCAAGCCACCACTGAAGGCACCAGCATCCCCATGGTTGCTACCCTGCCAGCCGTTTCTACTCCGGTTTTGCCGATGGGACTGAGCTCGGTCCCAACACCCAGCATGGTCAGCCCATTCACGGCCCCCGTCCCTTCCGCCGGGCCAAGGGTCACCTTTCCACCAAGCATGACCCAGTTCATGAACGATCCAGCCAACTTACAAGCCATCCAGGGCTTTGGCCAGGTCATGGCCATGTGCCAACAGAATGGGGGGATGCCTTTCCTCCCAGGCATGTTTCCATTCGCCCTTCCAGGCGCTGGAACGATGCCCCTGCAAGCTCCAATGGCAGTGACTCCGTTTCAGACGCCGATTCCGCAGCCATCACCTTTCCAGCCGCAGCTAGTCAGCGCTGTGGCCCCCATTAACTTGGCAGGTGCGCTTAACGCCGCAGGGCCGTCGCGTCCCCGGCGAGGTACGAATCCGCTAATCACTCCAGATGGTCACTGCGTCTCAGTTGAAAGCGGAGACGATGAGTGGGACATTCCAAGGACCCACAAGAAGAAGAAGGGAAAGACCATACGCCCTGCAACTTCCCGAAACTCCGCCTTCAAAAGGCTGGGGGATAGGGAAGAGGGCCAGAGGAAGTCAGCCAAGCTGAGGCTGGGGCAAAGCGTTGCCCACGTCAGCGCGTTTGCCCGGTTAGGTGAGGTGAGGGAGGCCGAGCCTGCCCGCACCCAACGCTCCCGGTCAAATCGGCAGGAGCCAGCCAGGACGAGGGCCTCTCGCCAGGAGGAGGAGGCAGAAAGCCAACCCAGGGTACCGGTGGCTAACCGGTTAAACATCCCCAATGATCGCGTCCAGCAGATGGAGGCAAAATTGGAAAGACTGGAGAAGAAGGTCGGGGAGAAGAATGACCGGGACAAGCCCCTCGCAGGGTCCCCGTTCACCACAAGGGTCCATCTGACACCTTTCCCGCGAAGGAAGGAAGATCCAGAAATTCACCTGGACTCCTTCAATCAGAGTGCAACCATGAACGGTTGTACAGACGAAGAAAAGTGCCTCCTTTTCTTCCAAACTTTGCGAAATCGAGCTACTGAATGGTTCAACAAGCTTCGCCCAGGAAGCATTGACTCATTCAGTGACTTGGCCTCAAAGTTCAAGGCCAAGTTTCAGGAGAACTGTACTAAGAGGAAGAAGTTCACTTATCTTAGTACAGCCGGGCAGAGGGAATCCGAGAACCTTACCCAATTCCTTACCCGGTGGAAGGAAGAGGTAGACAAGGTGGAAGAGATGGATGAATAAACCGTCTTATCTCTCCTCTTGAGTGGCTTACGTGCCGGGGAACTATACAAGGAGTTCTGCCGGAAACCCCCGGCCACGTACCAAGAGGCCTATCACACTGCATGGGAGTTTGCTGAGGCTGAAACTCAACTCCGGGCGAAGAAGGAAGCCGAACATGGGTTCAAGCCCAAGCCGGTGCAGGTCAAAAAGGAAGAAGCGCCGGTAACCAGCCGGCCAAGGCACCATTATGACCCGGTCGTCCGCGTGGTCAACACAGAAGAGTGCCAGGAGGTAAGGAAAGCACCGGCTCCCTACCCGGTCATTCCTCCGGAAAATCCTACCGGTCAAACTGGACGGCAATGGTCGGGCACGTATTGTTCGTACCATCGGTCAGATTCCCATAACACTTCCGAGTGCAAGAGTGTTAAGGGAGTCATCCGGCAAATGATAAACAGCGGAGAACATGGCAAAGATTATTTGCAGAAAGCCAGGAGAAGAGTCATCAATGGGTTAGGCCAGCTATCCCGGAGGATGAGCAGGACAACGACCGACGGAGGAATAACCGGCCGAAGGAGCGGCAACCTGCCCCTGAAAAGGAACACATCGGCATGATCTTCGGCGGACCTGAGGGTGGAGACTCAGCCGCGCAACGGAAGAATTGGGTTCGCAGCATTTACGTTGGTGAGGTAAGCGCTGAACCGCCCAGGCGTAAACATACTAGGAGGGAGCCGATCGTCTTCACTGACCGGGATCTCCCTCCTACCGGTGAAGATCATAATGATCCATTGGTCATCACCATGGACATTAATGGGGTGGATGTTGCCCTGGTACTTGTTGACACCGGCAGCAGTGTCAACATCTTATACCAGGAGACTTTCCAAAAACTCAGGTTGTGTCGGACACAACTTGAGCCCCTCAAAACCCCTCTATCAGGTTTCACGGGAGATACAGTGGAGGCTGAAGGGTCCATAGTCCTATCGGTCGAACTAGGATCGGGCGAAAAAACCGTATGGAAGAAGATGCGGTTCATAGTTGTGGACATCAAATGCGTCCACAACGCAATCCTTGGAAGGCCGGGTATCAATAAGGTCGGGGCGGTAATTTCCATGCCTCACCTGTGCATGAAGTTCCACACTCCAGGTGGTGTGGGTGAGGTGAAAGGCGACCAGAGGAACGTCCGGGAGTGTTATGCCCGGGCAGTCAAGAAGATGACCAAGGGGGTCAATGTCATCTCCCAAGAGATCACAAAGGGAGAGACCCGGGAGAAATTGGAGCCCGAGGCCGAGACGGTGGAAATCGAACTTCACCCGGGTGATTCTTCAATTATGGTCAGAATCGGAGCCAATCTCCCAGAAGACCTCAAGGCAGAGATTACGCGGGTACTCTGAGAATACGCGGGCATATTTGCATGGAGCGTGGCAGATATGCCCGGAATCGACCGCTCAATCATCTGTCACCGATTGGCAGTGAGAGATGGAAGTCGACCGGTACGCCAGAAGAAAAGGTACCTGGCCAGTGACCGGCGGGACTTTGTCAAGAAGGAGGTGAAGGATCTCCTCAGTGTTGGTCACATTCGGGAAGTCAAGTACCCGGATTGGTTGGCCAACGTGGTTCTTGCTCCCAAGGGGGACACATGGAGAATGTGTGTGGTCTACACGGACTTGAACAAGGCGTGTCCGATGGATTCATACCCTCTCCCCAGTCCAGATTAAATGGTGGACGAAACTGCGGGGTGCGAACTCCTGAGTTTCATGGATGCGTTCAAGGGCTACCACCAGATATACATGGCCAAGGAGGATGAAGAGAAGACGTCATTCCTCACACCCGAAGGAACCTACTGTTACCGGGTAATGGCGTTTGGCTTGAAGAATTCGGGGGCAACCTACCAGCGCATGGTGAACAAGCTCTTCAAGCCACTGCTGGGAAAGACCATGGAGGCATACGTCGACGACATGCTAATCAAAAGCCAGGTATCTCTCAATCACCCGGCTGATATGCGCGCCACATTCGATATCATGGCAAGATACAACCTCCGGTTGAATCCCAAGAAGTGCGTCTTCGCGGTTC